CAATCTGGCAGGATCCCTGGCTACTGAGTTTCTACTAGCTATTGTACACGCTGTTGATATTGCGATTGTTGTAGCGGTCAGTACTACTTTTCTTACCTCTCATCACAGTCTTCACTTATCTCTTCATGGAGAGAGCTACAAAGGCCGAATAAGTCTCAAGGCACCCTCTGCTAATGTTACATGGAGCTGAAAGGCAATATTGCAAGGTTGAAGAATGGCGTTGGTGTGGTCTTCTTGAAGTTGATGCTGGTTGGCAATGAAGACCATCATTGACATGGAATGTAAAAAGGCTGATTCCTTGACTTGCCAGGCTATCTCATGTAGTTGATGACTGATATAGGACATTTATGGATCATTATTACTATTTACTAGCCAGATTCATGGATACTTACGCATTTGCCAGCCTCGCATTAGTTACAATAATCGGGGTGTCGTGTCTTTCGCTTAGGTGTAGTGAGCAAAAAAGTTGTCACAACAACAACAATAAGCCTTGACAGGGCCCAAAGTAGCATAGCCATGCAGTTAAGGAGTGAGCACATTGGGTTCAATTCTTACCTGCATAGAAGACATGTTCCCGGAGTAGACAGCCCACGATGCCAATGTGGATATCCGTCCCAGAACGTCAAGCATATGATCATGGCCTGTCCCGTCTAGGCTATAGGGAGAGGGGAGATACTGAGAAAGGCAGAGAATCGGTCATTCGAAGCGATGATGAATAACCCGAAAGATGTTGCAAGAATTACAAAGTGGATATAAAAGGAAGGAAGGCTAGAGCAGTTTCGACTGACGCTTGAAGTCGAAGCCATGATGAGTGACAGAGAGGGCAATAGGGGAAAGATGATCTCTTGCCATAAATAAGGGAGTGGACGGTATCTGCACTGGATATAACAGTATTAGTGCATTTCCTAAAGGTAACACAACGTTAAAGTGAATATAAATTGAAAAGCTGAGGGGGTTTTTACCATAAAGGTTTCCCCCTAAATAAATATTAGAGTTCGTAGACACCTGCATGGGCCTTAAGGCGCCAAATCGGGCTAAATGAAAACAAATTCAAAAAACAATGGTAATGCGTTGGAAATTTGATACAGGCAAGCGATTGCAGTGGGCAGAATGACATGAAAATTGGAGAGTGGGCAATAGTGAGCAAAGGTTTGGAGAGGCTCGTGTACACTCACTTTATTTCTTCGTGATAGTCGACTCCCACATGGAACACAAACGAATATACTACTTGCCTTTCCCTTCGGATTAGAATCCAAGAATCTGGTATTCTGACCAAAATTATTCAATTGTCCTGATATGGCCCCATTAGACTGACGCAGGTTTTTTGGGAAGATGTGTAGTTTATGTAGGATGACTCAGTTTGGTGTTTGGAACACTCACATTCAGATTTAATTTGCACCTACCACTCGAGGTTAACCCTTACGCCGTAGAAACTCTTCTACACTTACCCACCACACAAAAAACTCATGGCTTTCCGAGCATGATTTCGTCGTCCCATAATGCGATATCATGGCGGAGATAGTGGTGCGTGGAATTTCACAGGTTCGAGCCAGCTTTTTCCCGTCCCAAATGGGATAGGTGTTCAAGCTACCCAAGTCTACTTGGCGCAGCAGCGCGGATAGTGCACCACTGCACCATCCTGCCGTCACTCGTAATTAGTCAATAGAGCGCTCCGATACACAGTAGGTTAATCAACAACTCACCACTCTAGCTTTCCGACTCTTCAATATCCCAATTAGATTCACTAGGTCATGTTAGACTGAAGCCGAACACCTGGAGCTTCTAAACAAAGCCCGAATCCAAAATTTCTTTGAAGAGAGGTAATAGATGCGTACAATATGCAAGGAAATGTTGCGCGAAGAGAGAACTCTCAAATAACTGGAAGGTTATGTAAAACATGGGTCTACTAGAGCTCATATGGCTACCTCTTAGTGACTGCAAGGCCGCCTCTACCTTTGAGGACCCCCACATGCGCTGGGGATGGCCTAGAATTGCTAGGAGAATATACCTCGATCAAGTGCACAATTTTGCTCGGGATTTTTGTTAATAATGATATGAGTCGGGATTATTCTTCTCACTGTGTATTCCCGGTATGTGTATAACCGTTATTGGCTCACTATTGTATTATAGTTAGATAATTAAGGTTCTCTCCCTAATTTCGACCAGGTAGACCGCCCTTCCTTTGTATATGCCCGGATCACGTTCGATGCCCCAACCTCCTTACTCTTCTCGTGTCACATGAGCGTATGACGGTTCAAATTCAGGCACGCCAAACCGAAGTGCACGCAATATAGAGGAGACGAAGGCTACTAATCTTCGATCGCTATTAGCTTTGGTGAGGTTGCGGTTGGTAATGATCTCGCTGGTAGGGATATTGTCTCCTCACGAAATCAGAACAGAATGCTCATACCCAAGCGACGTAGAACATATTTAAAGTCCTCTGCCAAGAACTACTTTCTATTTAGATGTAGGACCGGTGGAGTCGCCCGAGATTTACCCTTCAGGCTTGCCCTGCTCGTTCGTACCCATTTCTGAGCTAATTCATATCGAGCTCATTGTACGGGTAATGCAGCAAAAAAGAAAAGAAATGAGCAAAGGATTTATAATTGTCGAATAGTAGGACACAAGTTTTATTTGGAAGTGCATTAAACAAGGATGCTGGAGCTTGGGTGGTAATAATGATCATAAAGATGTAATGACAAATGGGTAATAATTAGTAATAGCTGTGTAAGCATGTATCATGTGACGAGTGTTCAAGGTCATTAAGGCCCTGGCGCTCCGTCACAAATGAAGATGGATATGAATGAATGAAACATTTGTTATGGAGTTACCTCAAACATGTTGAAATTGGCGCTACTTGGCAATGAAGAGGCGTATTTATACGGAACGTAATAAGGTTCTATTATTACTAGCCACATTCATGACGACTCATACATTGACCAGCCTCCCAATTATTTAGCATAAACAAGTGAATCGTGTCCTTCACTTGGATGTAGTAGTTAGTGTAATAGTGCTCTGATACGAAGTGGGTTTAATCAACAACTCTTCAATCTCCCAACTCGCTTCACTAGGTGATATTAAATGCAAGCCTAACAGCTTACGCTACTCTATACAACTTCCATTACAACAAAACAAAGAATCCATAGGAAATATTCCGACAATAATTGGTAGTGAGTCTGCATTCCTCATACTCATCTCTCTTCCACCAGCGTATTAGTGCTGGCATTTATCCCCGAAACTGTCCATGCATCCAGCAGAGAACTAGTATGTATACTTTAGTGTCATGGCTAGTTAGGCTGTATACACTTAATGAATTAAAAAAAATTGCATGCGTACGGCCCACCAAAGCAGCCTGTGACCTGTGCAAAAACTTTAAACTCCTACGGCCCTTTATGCTCGAGGAGTTACTTTTGAAAGTATCTGATATCATGTCTCTTCTGGGTTTGTGTACTAGAGTATTATGCGTCCGACAGCGTAAAAAGTGGGTGGAGGTCTTTTCTAACCCACAAGTACAAACCAGGTTTTCATCTTCGTGCTTGAAGCGACGATGATGCGTCGCAAAAGAGGTAGAATATAGTTGAATAATTAGTCCTAGATAACACCCGATCACTTTGACAAATCACTTCAAAAAGCTAAACCCTCACTGACCCTAATCTTTTATCTCTGAACCTGAAATCTCTATTGTCACTAGGGTATGATTAGATATGGAACGTTGTACGGGCTAGAGATAGCAAAGAAAGGTGGATAACGATTATCGAAGCTTGATGATATGATGAATACCTTGGTAATATATCTACATATCTAAAATTTCAGTTCCTCGCCATAAATCCCCGATTCCTCTATTCCGTTGTGTAGAGCTGCGCTTTAATAGTCGAACTTAATAGTGGCCATGCGGGGCTGTGCAGTACTTGCACTGATCTACTATATCACTGACACTTGGCAGAGGTATATATAGAGTAGCTGCAATAATTACATCACAACAATCTCCAATGTCTTTAGTTCCCTACAGCATAAACTTGATGGTCAACCTTGACTTCTATCATTCCAAATACCTCAAGAGCTTCAATAATAACTAGAGCTAGCTAGAGCTAACTATACTTACATCCGCTCGCACAAAGTATATAACTAAAACTTCCTTTGATAGTTTATATCTCAAGGCTTTCATTTTTACATGTCTAAAAATGTCGGTAAAAGGATCACATTTGGGTAGTTTGAATTGTTCTATGTATTTGCGGTATTCAGGTTGTTGTTAGGACACTGACAGGGATCTGACTTAGCTCATTAGCGAGGCGCTTAGAGTAGAGGAAGAAAGGGCAGAGGGGGAGAAGGAAAAGGAGAGACAACGTTTTATGTATTTCGAGATACCAGTTAATTGACATTATTCACCGACTTCGTGACGGACAGCTGACTTCGTGACGGCACCCAATTTGTATTACTTCGTGTTTTACCAACAAAAAATGAATCACCCATTTATATTCGACCATATTTTAATATTGAAGCACAATACTAGACAAGTTATATCATTGAAAACCCTCAGTTTTATTAAAAGAAAATCGAACAGCTAGAATATATTTACAAAGGACGCTAGTTTTACCCTGTATTATCTAAACCGCCACTTGACCTATAGGCTGAGGACTGAGCCTTTAACATTTAATTATGATAGTATCTATATTAATGTTTATTTTTCGAAAATACAAGGTATATTCAATTCTCATATTAGCATATATAGTGACATAAAACAGAGCGGCTTCTATCATAGATTTAGTACTTTTTTCAATTGATTGCAATTATAGGGTTAAAGCTAAGATTAACCAAAAACATCGTCAGGTATTTGATCCTATCAATATCGGTTAGTGTGTCATGTTCGTAAGTCATTTGAATTACCAACCATTTTTTTCGGTCACTTTGGACTATTTAAATCCTTGTCGGTCAGCTCGCCCAAATAAATGACCATTATCATTTGACTCTAAAGCGGCCTCCAGCTCCTCGATATGTGGGGCCTACAGTCTCGTTTTCTTACTTCGAAACTTTTTCATGTCAGTCATCGATTGCAATGGTGGAAAGAGATCGACAACTACGAAGTCACTCACTTTTCTCGTACTATATCGAAGAATTTTGTGATCAGCTGAGTTGATTCCAAAATTAGGAGGGCGAGAAGTTGTCGATGGCCTGTGATGTGTAAGGCCATCATTTTGGTTCCCCCAAGATTGGGCCTCGATTTCTTCATTCTGAAGACTTTTGTGCCAGGTCATATCGCTAAGATTCCGTATTTTAAGGCGGGTATTAGCTTTTTTCCCTGGGTTTTTGTCTCCATCGGAATTGGCATTGGAAATTTTCAGCTTGAAATCTTTAATCTCCGTTCCACTTCCGAGCCCTTCTCGTGGCTTTTTGCTCAGTCTACTCTTATCTATACCAACAAGAAAGCTATAGAGCCTTCCTCCGCTGATGTATGTTGAGATTATATTCAAATGATTCTGGCGAGGGATATTTCGCCACCACAGATCCTCATTACCAGCCCCTTTCTCTTCATGTAGCCTGACATATGGATTGCCAAGTCCATGCCAGTCATCCCATCCATATCGATTGAACTCTTCGTCCCATCGATTTGGCTGGCAACTACCGTCCCAGCAGCCATGGGCTCGAAGAATCCTTGTCGCATCTGGACAGGCCGAATAATTGTACAAGGTCATATTCGGAAATGAGTGCTGGTTATAATTATGGTGTTCCAGCAAAGGTAAATGACCTTGGTGAATATACTGCCAAGTAAGATTGCGACCCGAGCAAGCATGCTCGTTGAGGTAGGAGTTAGCCGAAAAATTTGAAAGTGATGATCCCATGATTGCAAGCTGTTGATAACTTATTCGGCTGCTACACTATTAGTTAGACTATGGCATATTGAAGTCGGAAGATACTATAGTCCGGAGAAGCGTACATGAAGTAAGGTGATCTTTTAAGAGTGAAAATTTGCTGAAGAGATGATGTTCGAATAAGATTATAGAAGGTATCCGTTTGTGTGGGTTGAGAGGTTGAAGCTGTGTTCCTGAATAACGTCTAGATGAGGGTTTATATATGCATAGATTCAATCTAGATACTGGCACAAGGAGAGACCCAAGTGCTCATCAACCCTTCACATGAAATTCTTGACGTTTTGTCCAGGCCTCACATGTATTTTATGGGGCATGGCATGTGAGGGCTACACCATTGAAAATTTCAAAGTTGTCAAGTAATATAATTCCGCCACCTAGGTCGTATTTAGATCCTTGTTAACTTTCTACTCCGAAAATTTGGTCTGAAAGAATGATTTTTCGACTTGAACAAGCCTAACATTGTGCCTAATTCTTAATAGCCGCAATTATCAACCAATTTTGGAACTCATCCATTTTTGACATGATATTGTTGACATCTTATCTAGGGCCCATTTGTATGTCGTGGGGTATTATCGGTTGGTATTAATTTGTTGGGAATCTCACAGTTTTCAAGCCGATTGTAATTGCCACACAAAATACAGCTGGGTGACATTGAAATCTTCTTGTACCATGAAGCTTCTTGCATATTTAAGCTAATTGATAAGTACTCCGTTTTTAAGATGCTTTAGTGAAAGCACCTCATTGCTAAAAATTCATCCTTACATAAAAATGCGGTATTTCTAGCATATAATCAACACAAACTGAGCCCTGTGTCAAGGTGGTAAATTTTGTTGGATAGCGGACGCTAGTCGATAGACAGTTGTGTCAATCTAAAAGTTTTTCATTTGATCCACTAGAAAAAGGAGCGGGTAAGCGTAGTAGTAACTGAAGATTGAGCTTGATTTTCTTTAGTTTCTCGAAGATCTAGTGCGTGATTCGTCTTGGCTTAAAATCTTTGACTACTATGAAGAAGCTGTGGATTGCCACAATGTCTAGAGCCAGTCGCCATCATGTATATTATATTATTTTCTTCGGTTAGTTGAAATTATATATTGCACTCGTATAGCGATTACTGCTTGAGAAACTAACGGCACTTTCCGAGGCTCCAAAAGCTCTCGTAACAAATGTGTTATAAAACTAGTTTCCTCACATAAAGGATATAGTACACTCAGATTCTTTCGCCACTTCACTAGGCTAAGCTAGTATTTAAGAAGAGCTGTTTGAAATCATGTAAATACATTTCAATAACTTTATCCGACTTAGCAACATTAGCGCCCAATTTTGTAATTATTTTCCGGTATTCGATTATTTAAACAAAAATAGACAACTACTCCATTATTCTTGTCGGATTTGGTGGCCTCGAATTCTACCATGGTCATGGATTTGGTAGCTTCCCGCAGCCTGAAAGTAACTGCCTCGATTAAAATTCTTGTAAGTCACATTCAAGAGAAATTTGCTGTAGTTTTCGAAAAAAACATACTATCATTGGCGATAATTTTCGAGAAGAATTAATGGTGTTAGAAATGAAGACATAGAGTGTTGTGGACGTACGGGCCCTCCATTTCGTCTAGGTTCACGACACGATCTTGCGTCTAGTGAAGGGGTTGGAATGGGTAATAGTGTAGTAATTTAGTAATTTAGGCTACTTAATGCATACTCGAGAGGCTGTATGGCGTGGGCACAAGGAGGTTATCGGTGGTTTTCTATGCTTAGATAGCGCCTTGATCGTTTATGTTGTGGCTTCGGCTCTGCGTCGCTTACACTTGTACTTATAGCACACACCTCACTCTTTTAGCAGTAATCTGCTCATGGCAATCCTTTTTTCAACTTCTTCTTTCGTTCCAGTAATATTGCGTCCATTTTGTTGCGCGACATTCCCAACATCAGGACTTTCCTAAACAGTTATTCGCTTAAATGTCATACCTAATTCTATTAGCCATTTTATCTCCAATTCCTAAAACATTGGTTTCAGGATAGTTTTTAGCCTGCCTACATGTAGATAATAAAATATTGGATTACTTCACAGTTCTGTCGTTACCTAAAAGTTCAGAGTAATTACAAGGGAAACTGAGCCCCTATTCATGAAATCATGTCTATTGGCAAGGCATTGCTTAATTTCAATCGCACTATAATTTATTCATGTTTCCTAGATCCTAATTATTTGTAATATGTCTATACAATTGGCACCAGGTAAAGTTTTTATGTGAGTTAATAGAAGTCAACTTGGTCTAATCCACCATCTCCGTATCGGGTGCTAAGTAAGCTCTGGAAACTCATCGGATGGCATTTCCTCCGTGATCAAGGGTGGGTATGAGTAGGGCTTCGACCCTACCATCTAATCTGATCGTCATTAGCTTCATGCTAATGGTGATAGGGGAATGTGTTGAGAGATGAAGGCGATACAGACGGCGAAAGCGATTGAGGATCCTCATGGAAGTGAGGACTTTGTTAGTCAATCTCGGCTCCGCAGACTCTACAGTGAGAGCTGGAGGTTCGTAGGGGACGCCACTGACAGGTGTTGAGAAAATTTCCCCACATAAAATAGTAGCTCATTCACTTTTTGAAAGATGTATGGGACGAGGAGCTAGTTCCAGATATCAAGAGACAAGAATGTGAATGATACTCGCATCTATACTTTCTATTTGCTTGAAACCTTTTTATTTTTTCTATTAAGTAGAATGAAATAAATGAGATAAATCAGGAATTATTGCATTTTGAAGAAACAGTGATGGTCATGTTTAATTCCAGTATCTTATTTCAAGATAGGCTTGCGTCACGGTTTGAGAATTCATGCCGAAGCGATCAGATATACAAAGGTAGTTTTTAATTTTCTCCATGCCTAACTTCCAAAGTAATAAGGCCACGACCCTCATCGTCTATTGGCAAATATTAAGTACATCAATATTCAAATTTCCTATCAACTTTAAAACTATTTGGATAGTTTTAGCTATCCTCCATAGTGATAAGCTCAGTAAGGATGTTAATTGAATTTTATTCTATTCGATCAAAGCATTACTTTAACTATTTTTATTTTTATTAAAATATCTAGAATATTCGTTCTTTGCTGATATCAGCTTCCCGTATGTTCCGCTGAGAGTCATCACCAGTCTTGCTACCTATAATTAGAATCTTTCAGTTACAATAGAGCTAATCTAGAATAAAAGAGTGCAGCTGACATTATAAACACAATCTAACGATGCAAGGCACCGTGGCCTGCTTCCTGGTGGTGTTTTCTGGTATAGTTCGAGTAGCCTGGACACCTACTCCACTTCGGGAGAAGCCGCAGACCACATTTCACGCAGAGAAGAATTAATGAATGATGGAGATATATCTGGATAACTCGGACTTTTTGAGACGTTACCCTGGGTGGGTATTCACGGATGTGGGTTGACTTGGGGTGAAGAAAAAGCCACCATAACTTCGCAGTGGTACTTGCAAATGAAATCCGAGGCATAAGTGCTACTCTTGTAAATTGAGTCATCTTTTCTGTACTTTTCTTTGATATTGTGTCATAGCTAGATAGCTGCATACGCAATTAAAATCTGATGCAAAAAAGAATAAGGCCGTGGTCAACTTTTTTCCCATGCATACATGGGTTATATACATCATATGATTGTAAAACCCTCTTACTGATATTAAAATCTTACTGGTCCTTAGCAATAAATCCTGGTATTTCCTATTATGATAGATTAATTCTTCCAAGAAATTGTGAGCCAACATAGGCAAAACGCCGATGCAAAATGTCGGCAACTGACTCCTAGTAATTTTGTGACAGTATTATTCTGGAACGACTTAGAGAATGTGATGGTGCAGCATTATAGGAAGAAGATATATTAAAGAAAAATGATCCTATAGCTGGTCTAGTATTCGCGATAACCTATGCATTCCTTGATAAGACATTGAGCTCTTCATTTACCAATTTCCTATCAAGTTTCTTAGGTAGAAGCTGAATTCTAGACGCTAGTTTTTCCGTACAAGTAGGTGTATATAAGACGTTATCTATGGTGATATCTCTACTGGAGTTCTTGTTCTCCGATTTGAATATTATAAACTGCACCTATCTAGCGCCGAAGACGTTGATCAGTTGTCCCAAGGCATTGCCAAAGGATTTATTGCTGGCAAATATTCACATGAACATCGATTTATCGCGAAATATGATTTGTTGCACCAGTGACGAGGATAACATTACTTTTATTGGAACCGCTAGATACCATCACAGCACGCTCGCCCATTTCCCAAACCCCAGGCCTAGATGGTTCATAATTACTGAAAAGATCTAATCTAACTCTTCCTGGCTTATTTTGACTCGCTGATTTTGTTCAAAGCTCCCTAGTGTTGGAAGTTGTATCCGAGTTCTTCGTTGACTAATTAGATCCGTTTGAAGTATTAATCTAGTGAAAGCTATTTTCAAGCAAGTTACCTTGACGCTTATAATGCGCACTTCTATTAATATCTATAGGATTATTCAAAGGTGGGCTGGGTTCCTAGGCTAGGACCACAACTGGTGAAAGATTAAGATTGCGACACACTCGTCGGGAAGCGCGAATCGACGCGACGGCAGATAACAAAGTAAAAGATGGATCCCGCAATGAAATAAAAATCGACACTTAAGATATCTGGAGCATTCGATGAAGTGGATAAGTACTTGTTATTTCATGCTTGAGTTGGAAAGTGCTGTATTGCTATTACTCAAACAGATAATAATTCGGCTTTTCGATAGCTCCTGCGTGCAACCATGCCCTCTTTCATCCTCAAAATGTAATCTCCAGTAGTTCTTCAGAAGCTAATCCATATTCTAAATTGCATCGGAACAGTAGATCCGCTTGAGATTATCTCTTTAGAATCTGCACAGTCAAGATTGAATAACACCATCCTCATTTCAACAAGTATTCCCGAGCGATTTTTGGGTCTGTATCGTCTTCATCTCTCAACACATTCCCCTATCACCATTATCATGAAGCTAACCACGATCAGATTAGATGGTAGGGTCGGAGCCCTACTCATCACCCACCCTGGATCATGGAGGCAATGCCATCCGATGAGTTTCCGGAGCGTACCCAGCACCCGATACGGAGATGGTGGATAAGACCAAGTTGATTTCTAATTGATGAAATCTAGACATACTAGACCATACTGCACGCAGTGCGGAGTAGACGAAGACTACTCATCTTCGATTGCTATCAGCTTTGGTGTGGTCTCGGTTCGTAATGATCTCGGTGGTGTGAATGTTATTCCATCACGTAATCAGAACATAATGTTCCTATCTAAGCGAGGTATAACATAGATAGACAATTAGATGTACATTACATTCTTACACTTTTAACTAAATATAAGTTCAGTAAAACAAAAAACCTCCCTGATCCTAACCTTTTATCTCTGATCCTTAAACCCCCAATATCTTACGATTCGCACAGTATTGACTTGACGGTCAACTTTCACTTCTATCATTCCTGATACCCCCTTGAACTCTAATACTGAAGTCACAAAGAAGGGAGATGTTGATGTACATACTTACCTCATGCAGTTGTAGTTACAGGTTGTTGAGACTTTCTTCCGCGGACGCAGTTTCCATTGATTTTTTTGTTTTGGGTAGATGGTTCCGTGGAAATGGTGGCTGTATTCCACAAGTAAATACTGAGCTGAATGGATACCTATTATGAGCAATGTATTAGAGATCTTTCAAGTAACAAAATAGGATAAGATCAGTGTTCAAGGCGTGGCTTGAGCCAGAGAGGAGCCCAATGTGCTAGATAATCGTGTTCTCAAGTAGCAAAATACAAAACAAATCCATTCCGCCGTCTGTGCATTTATTATATGAATTGATAGATCTATGCTAAGCTTCGACAAGGTTATTCTCTAGATTACGAATCACGAGTCCCTTTTCACATAGATAATCTTTGACTTGTTTGACGGTATACTCGCCGCGGTGAAACATGCCTGCCCCGAGTGCTGCGTCAGCCTTAGTTTTAGAAAACACTTCTTCAAAGTGACTGGGGTTTCCAGCTCCGCTTGAAGCAATTACAGGAATACCAACAGCCTTTTTTACTTGTTCAATAAGTTCTAGATCAAAGCCGCTATTGGTACCATCTTTATCTATGCAGTTAAGTAAAATTTCACCGGCCCCCATTGCCTCAACTGCTTGGACAAGTTCCACCACGTCAATGTCTCGACTCTCCCGTCCGCCCTTGATAGTACAAGTATACCAACAAAAATTTTCGCCATTTGGACCAGGGAATTTTGTTCTGATAGAAGCATGTTTTGTCTCGGTTGGTTCCAATAGATATACCCGCTTGGGATCGACACTGACAACTACTGCCTGATTGCCGTATGCGCCTGATATTTGCTCAATAGGAGTATTTCTAGATAGTTTCTTTCCAGCAGCGTAATAATTTTCTGCTGCAGTAACAGCCTCGGAACCGATTGACACTTTGTCCGCGCCGCTCTGGAAATACATTTTTGCAATCTCAAGAGCAGATACTTTTCGCCCTTCGGAATCTGTCGTGTCTTTGATTCCCCCACCGATTGTCAGTGGCACGAAAACCGTCTCTGAAGTCTGCCGTAATATCTCTAGCATAGGAAGATCTGCCAGTGGGCAATCTCGAAAGCTAGTAATATTTAGGAATGTCACCTCATCTGCGCCTTGTTCATAGTACTTTTTTGCCATTTCGACTGGTTTCCCGAGATTACGAACATTACCGCCAGTTCCTTTTTCCCGTACATCATATTGATCACCCTTAGTAACCACTAAATCGCCCTGATCGTTAGTCCGCACGTCGAGGCACGCAATCACCCTTCGCGTCAAACCGTCTGTGATAATTCTTGAATCATCTGTCAAGTATGACTTATCCTTTCCTTCAAGGAAGCACTTGATGACTCGTAGTCCTGCTACACCGCTTTTCTCTGGATGAAATTGCGTCGCTAGAACATTATCCTTAGCTATTGCCCCGACAAACTCTTCTCCATCGTAGGTTGCCGTTGCAACGGACCATCCATAGCTTTCAAGTTTACCTGCTTGGTATGGTACCATATATGAATGAACATAATAGTACTTTGAACTTGAACTTATGCCATACATCTTCTTATCCATTGTCTTTGCACTGTTCCAACCGATGTGCGGAACGGACTTAGAGGTGCTATCAAACTTGGTGAGATGACCCTCGATAAGAGCTAGGCCTGATGTGGCTGGATCCTCTGAGGAGCCTTCAAAAAGAGCTTGTAGGCCGACACAAATCCCCATGAAAGGTTTGCCTGATTTTATATGTTTCTGAATAGCAGGTAAGTATCCAGCGGCCGAGAACTGATTCATACAGTGGCCGAAATGGCCAACTCCTGGAAGTATCAATTTCTAGAAAATCTTAGCGAATGTAGATTCCACTAACAGCCAATAATCATGTATTAAACTTACTTGGACATTTTCTAGATCCTCTGGCGATCGTACCCATTCAACTCTGTACCCTACTTTTTCAATTGCATTGACTAAACTCCGCGTGTTACCCGCCACATAATCTAGTAGGTGAACGGACGGCTGCATCCTGGATAACGTTAATATATGCCTTAATTGAGGATATTGATTGGACAATTAATTGCGACACCCTTAAAATTATCGAATAAATTTTAATGGATCCGATGCCAAGATTTCTAAGGTTTGAAGGTAGATCGCGGCTTTTCGCCTAAGGGTAAAATAATCGTACATAACGGTGATAGATACCAAGTCACAATGGACTTAATGGAAATTTCTGAGAATTATGCGGATTGAATAATATCTACGGAAGCAATTTAAAACGACAATAGCTTTGAAGATCCAACGCGCTCATCCTGAAACGATAAGTTATGTAAGTGAGATCGGCTGCCAGGCCATTACCTAGGCTAAATGCACTTCAGAATGTATTATACATTCAGGCATGCGAAATTGTGTAATGAGATTTGGATTTAATCATTTAGAACTCGCCTGTCCATTGTTGTTCGCATAACAACTTCAAATAGTTTAATTTTTGACAAGTCTAAGTGCAGAGTACAGGTGACTTTAGGCAATATATATTTATATAGCTGGCAAAGGTCAAGCGGCTTTAGCTCACTTGGGAGAGCGTCAGACTGAAGACAACTCCAGTCATTTATCTGAAGGCACTGTGTTCGATCCACAGAAGCCGCAGCGATCAGTAAAATTTATTTTTTCGCTCTACTAGTGGTTGACTACGTACAGATTTTTTATATTTTTTATTACACATTCGGTCCTAAGCTAAAACTATGTTTTCCACATTGGGTCAAGGACCGGCGGATCCGGCAGGGTTCCCTGTAACTTTTCCTACAGCCTAACTCGTTCCAACCTCGTGAATCGCTACCAAAAGTGCAGCTGATTGAACAAGGACGAAAAATCACAAAAATCAAAACAACTCTGAATATCAGAAGATTCCTCCATATTGGACCCAGTAAATGCGCTCCTCACATATTCCCTCGTCTGTCACACCTTCCAAATGACAAAATTTATTCAATCTCTGCTGAGAGCAAGAGATGAGTTAGCAGGCACCTTTTATCCAGCCGGTATCCTGCTATTGGTTAGTAGATGCCCCAAAAGGGGACATTGTCGAGATTGCTGTGTCCTCAAACTTCTTCTTCAGAACCCAGAGCTCCGAAACCTGTTGCCTCGGCCATCGAGACATCCTTCGCCGCGGCGATGATCGCCTCTTCGGCCTTTTTTGCTGCAGCCCTGGCTCGTGCCACCTTCGCGAACTCCCCTTGTTCGATGTGGCGAATCCACACGAGCTGCTCTTTGGTCACCGGTCCCCCACAGTTGCGACAGCGTGTGAGGGCCTTGCACTCTGTTTCGGAGTGCATATTTGATCCGCAGTTCCAGAAAGCCGGAGCGTGGGAGCAACCACGAGTGGCGTGGAAGCCCAAACAGCGTTTGCACTGTTCAATTGATCGACGAGGCTTATGGATGGTAGCCATACCCGAATCGTCGAAAAGGCGGAAGCCCGCACGAGGGGCTTCGTCCCGGTGAAAAAGGGCATGCCAGTTTCGATGAGGCGATCCAGGCCGACATGTCCCATGAGGTCGGACCTGGATTGGATACGCGCTGGTCGTAAGGAAGATCTCAGCGGTGACACTTGCAGCATCGGTCGCTACGGAGCCGTACTGTGAAACGATACTTACAGGTACGTTCGGTATGTGTAAGGCGACAAGATCCGAAGATGCTTCGAAATTGGCTTTTTCACTTGCCAGCTTCGGAGAGACATCTAGGATCTCTTGTCGTATTTTTTCGTTCTTTGCTATAATAGCAAAGCCGGTCTTTACTCGATGAATCGAGGTTTTATCATTGTAAGAGAGATTAAGCGTGTCCGCTACCTTACTTTTCACAATGTTGTTTGAGAGATTCCGCCATGGGTGCTCCTTTTCCAGGCGAAGGAACAGTCGCTTATCGACTTTCACCTTGGGAGCTTCTTTCTTTTGGGCTCTCGCCGCAGGTCGCGGCACAGCCTTTGCTATAGGAGCTGCATTTTGTCGCAGTCCATTTTTGGCCACCGTGGCCCAGGTGCTTTTTACAGGCAGCACTGGGACGGCGGGAGTTGTATTGCTCCTGGCTTCTGGAGCCCTTGAGGTCGGGTTCGCAGGGCGAGGAGGGAGGACGGGTGACGTGATGGCCGGGCCCGTGGCCATGTATTGCGCAATGGCGGCGCGTAAGTAGACTCTCATCGAGTCTACGAATTGTCTATTTGACCCGTTGGTCAAAGGGAGGAGGGTGGCTTCGACGCCAGAGATGGCGGCGGAACAGAGGGCCAGATTTGCCGCTGTTTCGGCGGCGCGTCGTTGTTTAGCTTCGACAATTGGTCGAAGCTCTAGGGGACACTCTGCTTTTGTGGCAGCTTTTGGCTGCGACGTTGATTTTGGCGCTGCTTTGACTGCAGCGTTTTCCGACGGTTTTGACGCTGTCGGAGGAGATTTTGATGATTCTCCAGTCCCGTGAGGGACGGAGGATGGTTGGGGAAATTCCTCAACAATTTCAACAGACCCGATAATGTCAGTATCGGGCTCAGTGACGGCGGGGAGGGCTTTTTCCTTCCCTTTAGTTGAGACCTTGCTCATCTCCGCGCATTTCGGAGACTGGGCAAGGTCAGGTAATTTTTCGAGAGCCCTCGAGCGGACTCTCGTGTTGTCTAACTTGGCGTTGGGACGCTTTTTACGAACAAGTGGCATGGTTAAGGTGCCAGCGACTCGATGACAATTTACTGAAGGAATGCGACGAGCGCGAGAGGGATGGAGATGAGGAAAGGGTGGGGTTTCGAAAATTCGAATCGTCTAAAAATGTTTTTTTTTTTATACTTTTGGTCCTAAGCTAACGCTATCTTTTCCACATTGGGTCAAGGACCGGTGGAGCCGGCAGGGATCGCTGCGTACAGGCCCAACTCATTCTAACCGCATGAACTTCTACTGAAATTGTAGAAGTTAACAGCAAAACTAAAATCAAAAACATAAATCAAAACCTGAAATCAAATTTGGAAGAAATACTGTTTGGTCCGGATCCCGCGCTTCTCGCCCGTTCCCTTTCCTGCCACATCTTCCAGGTGACTTTTTCTTATCTCCGCTGAGAGCGAAAGATACGTTTACAGATACCCTGAATTCAGCTGGTATCCTGCTATATATATTGAAGCTTTTTGTAGACTTCACCGAGGGTTGCTGTACCCTCAAACTTCTTCTTCGGATCCCAGGATTCTGAAGCCGGATCCCTCGGCCATCGAGACATCCTTCGTTGAGGCCATCTTTGCCTCTTCGGCTCGTTTGGCTGCAGCCCTAAATCGAGCCACTTTTGCGAACTCCCTTGCTGGATCTGGCGGATCCGCGCGAGCTGCTCTTTTGTCACCGGTCCGGACTTGCCGGGTCTGGCTAAGCAGGCCCGGGATTCCGATCGGTGAGGTCCCCCACAGTTTCGACACCGGGTGAGGGCCTTGCACTCTGATTCTGAGTGCATATTAGATCCGCATTTTCAGCAAGCTAGAGCGCGGGAACAACCACAGGTGGCGTGAAATTCAAGACACCGTTTGCATTGTTCGATTTTACGACGAGGTCGGAAGATCTTTGCAGCTCCAGAGTCGTCGAAAAGGCGAAATCCAGGTCGAGGAGCAGATTCTCGGGGAAAGAGCGCTTGCCAATTTGAGTAGGGCGCCCCTGGTTTGCTAGTCCCATGAGGACGAACCAGAAAGGGAACCAACTGGGTCACTCGCGTGACTTCGTCGGCAACCATCTTTGCCGTCACGGCGATTGGGCCAGCAAGAGTTCGAGTTGTCTCCGGGACGGTGGCAATTTGCATGGCAACCAGATTTGATGCTGGTTCCAGTTTGATTCCAGATTCGCTCCGTGATGTGGAGGAATCTAGGAGCTCTGTTCGAGCGAGTTCATCCTTTGCGGTTATTGCAAAGCCGGTCTTTACCCGCTGAACCAACGTGATATTGTTGGCAGCGGTTCCCAGCGCCTGAGACACCGCTAGCCTTACTCCAGCTGCAGAAAGGAGACGGTGGGGATGGAAATAGTCAAGGCGCAGAAAATGTCGTGAATCGGCTTTTCCACTCGAGTTGGCACTTTTTGCTTTCTGGGCGGGCGGTGCTGCCGTTTTTGTCGATTTCCCAGCGCTGCTGACTAAGCCTGCCCGAGCTACGGTGGTCCAAGTCGTCTTTGGGGCCGGAGCCTGGGTTTTTGTAGAGTTAGGTGCCCTAATTTCTGGAGCCCTCGGTGAGAGAGGGTTGGCGGGGCAGGCAGGAAGGACTGGTGGTGTGCTTCCTGGACCGGATTGAACGAACTGGCCAATAGCTGCTCGTAGGTAGACTTTTATACTGTCTACGAATTCTTTATTTTCGCCGATCGAAAGAGGCGAAAGTGCTGCTTCAACACTGTTTATCGCTGTCGAGCAGATGGCGAGGCGGGCCGTAATTTGCGTCGTACGTCGCTTTTCGGCCTCCATCACGGTTTGCAGCTCCGGGGGAAACTCCATAGCTGATGTCGATGCTGCGCCTTTTGAGGCTGGCACAGCATTTTTTCCGGCAGACGATTCTGCACGTTCGGTCGTCCTTTCTCTGACGACCTCCTTTCCTTTCCTGGAGCTGCTTGCCTCGAGGACCAACTCGGCGGGTTTCGCGGTCTGTTGACTGTTCGTTTCTGTTCTGATCGGATCAGAATCAGTCATCTCTTGGTCGGGAAGGGTGGAAGACTTCCCTGGGACAAAGGCCTCACTCGCAAACAAGCTTGATAATTTTTGCGCGAGGCCAGGAGGTTTTGGACACATGTGTGTCCGTTCAAAGCCGACAGAAGAGGTCGACTTCGGTCGTTTGCTCTTCATCGGAGGCATTTTGGGACGCCTTTCGATGGTCATCAATTCAAGAACTCAAGCACAGGAATAATCATGAGAAGGGAAAAGGGATATAGGGAATTTTCGAATTTTCAAGTTTCTCGAATTTCTCGAATTGTGCGTTTTTTGTTCATTAACGTGCTAGGTGAAGTAACTACCGTCGCACTCCTACTGGAGCTTGAGCCCGAGTGGGGTCG